CTAACAAGAGAATCTAACAGTACAAGGATCCCTGACTACCAGATGCAGATAACCACATGTGGACCTAATGGACCATGGTGTTAGATGTTAGACAGCAGTTGAAAATGCATGTCATGTTTTTCTATACAGTGTCTGCATGGAAGAAAAGACAGCCCAGCTGCAGAGAGTGTGACATTTGCGCCACCTGTCTACGTTTCCTGGAATTGCAATTACAAACATGTAACAAACGTAACAACAGTGAGCCAAGCTGTTTGTGTTGGGTGTTAGGCAGGGCAGCAGTAAGAAATGAGGTTGAAAACCAGTGAATTCCCCTGGGTGCAATATCATTCAATGTTAGGTTTTCTGTTAGGTTTTGAAATGCACCATGGTTTGCTATGTCCAATTTCTTGCCATATATAGAGCTGTCAGTCGACCCCATCACCAGCACATCTAACAAGATGTTCGTGAAGTTTGATTCTGATGAGAGTGAAACGACTCAGGGGTTCCAGGTTTCCTACACGGGTAAGGTTTGAATGCATTGAGCATATTTATGTTTACCGAAGGAAAAGTATGTTTTTGCCCAGTTTCTTCCTCTTCTTCTTCTCCAAACAGTGACCTCTGACCTGACCAATGGCATGATTTATTGACGTCTGTCACCATGGTGACTGGTGTTGGGCTACATAATGTTGCAATTTCATGGTCTGCTCTGCTCCTGTCACCATATACTAGTAGTGCATGTATGTGAATGTATGACATTATGCATTTGCTTTGCAAATGCTACTTCTCCAGTTTCTTTGCTAGCAAGACGTTTTTGATAGCTCATGTTTGTACGGTGTTTGTGGGTTTAACTGACAGCGACTCCTGTCGATCTGACCACAGAAGTGCAGGTGGAACCCACCACGCCTCCTGGCGATCTGACCACAGAAGTGCTGCCGGGCCCCACAACGCCTCCTGGCGATCTGACCACAGAAGTGCAGGCGGACCCCACAACGCCTCCTGGCGATCTGAAGACAAAAGTGCAGGCGGACCCCGCAACGACTCCTGACGGTCAGTTCAGAGGTGGGATGCCTGACCCTACAACGCCTCCTAGCGGTTTGACCAATGAAGTGCAGCCGGAGCCGACAGAGCCTGTTGACGACACAACAGGCATGGAAGAGAATGGCGGTAAGAACACTGGACTGTTTTGATGAATCATCAGGGTTTTAACCCTGAATGATTTGTTAAGATCCTAAATCTATGTAGAAGCGTTTTCACCAAGAATCAAAATGTTTCATGCCCTTGATAAACGTATTGAAGACGGCAGTTCTTTTTCTTAAAATGGATTTACGTTTTGCCTTTTCTTTTACCTTTTGACAGAATCCGGGGCGAGTGTTGCTACTACCGTTCCCGGTAGCGCGTTGGCAGTCATCGCTCTGGCTCACCTGGTTCTGACCTACTGTGGCATGTTCGGTTAGGTACAGGTCAGACAGAAGCCGACAACGTTCAGCAACTAGTGTGCCGTTCAGTTGTCTTTGCTTCTGGGCCAGCGAGCGCCGAGTTATGGCCTCTGTTATTTTTTTTCTTAAACTCAACTTAACATTTAATCATGTATAAGCTTGGTATTGCAATTATCTTTCCGTTTGCCACCAATATCATGAAGTTCTCTTTAACGGCCTAAAATCATGTCAATGTTTTTTCTCTTTTTGAACTCGTGTTGTCAAATACCGCAAACAGGTAAACTTAAAACGGCATGGCTAATTAGCTTGAAAATCTTGTAACAGTTAGGAGTTCTTGGTAGCTGTCGAATTCTCCTCCAGAACGGTAGATGACAGCAGGGGTAGCTCTGCTCGACAATACCAGGATTGGGTGAAACGGGCATCAATACATCAAAACGAAATGGTTAGTTTCAATTCTAAAAGCTGCTGCGAACATTGTGAACATTTTGAGCCTTGATCAAGCACAACCTGGCTTTGAGAACACTAGCAAAAGAGAGACCGGGCCGGAGTCAGTCAATGGAGGGTTTTCTGCACGTACAGGAGCGATGTATAATGTTGTTTTAGAGCCTCACAGTAATTATAAACAACGATGTAAAAACAACGACAACAACAACGTAGGCCCCAAACATGCTAACTAACTGACTGTGTGATCTGCTACTGTTTCAGTAGCTGTGTGGGATTGTTGGAGGAGATAATAGTTAGCCACTAGGTAATGTATTTTAGATAGTCTATGACTAATTTCTCTGGGTGTTCAACAAGCATTTTAATCAGAGTACGTAGTGTACGTGTTTTGCGTTACTACAATACCTTATCGATGTGGTTTATAACACTTGGATTCACTGGTGGCGCAGACGGCATGGAATAATGTTGCATGGAGACATGTAAAACCTGAATCCTCTGCAGGTTTGAGAAATAAAAAATTGGGACATCCATAGCAGAACGAATTGTGGTGATTATTCCTTACTGTGCAGAAATCCAATAACCAGCCAATAATACTATAAAATTGAGTTTTAAACACACTGTAATGGTGTACACATTTTTATGATCTTAAATCCCTGTGTCCATTAAAAGTACTTAATGCATCACAGAATATCGTCGAATCCTCTGTTCTATTTCGAACACCTTATGATGTTCGATCAAACACATCGAACCCTCTGTTCTATTTTGTACACCTTGTGGTGTTCGATCGAACACATCGAAACCTCTGTTTTTCTTCGAACACCCGGAATGATTAAAACATAGCGCCGCCTGGTGGCCGAATTCATATAGCATCTATGTAACATTGACCTTCAGGAGCAACTTCAGCCTGCGGTGTCAAAACAGTTCCTGTCGCCGCGAGTGTTCTTGCCGGAACTGGAGAGTTCGTGAGGGAATCTCGACCATCTGGAGTGTCTGGAGTGTTTATCCGTTCCGCCCAAGTGTTGTTCAGAGTCGAACGGTCCGATGATCTCTTTTTCTGTGTGTTCGATACCAAAACAGCTTATGTTGATGACGCAATCATTAGTAATCCTAAGTTTCACACAGAACGTAATGCGCATTTTATGGATTTTTGGTCGACGCTGCATCAGAAAAGCGGTCGTCATGTGGAACCCATATGCGAAATTACTTAGTACTAGTATGCTGTGTGTGTTGCGCGCACGTGTGTTTGTGTATTTTAAAAGACAGATCTAAAATAAACCATCCACGCTAATACTTGTTTCGTCTGTGGTGGCTTCTTCAGTATAGTCAAAACAAATCACGTAATAGTAGAAGCAATGTATCACAGGATGGTTTATCTATGCCTTAGTATTGTTACAGTGTTGTACGTATGTTTCATAGTGTGTGGTGCATACTCTCCAAGCAGAGGTTGTGGGGGAATGATCGTTACCTTTTTATCTATGGCCGTTTTTTTGTCCTGATCCCCACCAACGTTGGTGGCCGCGGACCTTCTCTGGCTAATGGATACTGCATGGCCATGGACAATTTGATACTGTCTTTTTGCCACCGAGAGGGATCTGCTTGGAGATTATGTGGAGCATGGCATCAACAGGATTTGCTACCTAGTGCTCCACCATTCTTGTTGTTGCAATTTTCATAAAGAAAAGACGAAAGCTCTGGAACATTCCCTGTCCCATTACGTCAAGGACGCGTGACGTCACACCGCTGAGTCAGGTGGTGGTTGTTTTTGTGGGTTTTGTGAAACAAGTGGTTTTAACGTGTCCTTCATATCATCATATCCGGCGCCTTTATAATACAGGCACGCAGGGCGTCAACAACAACAACAGATTTACAGCGTACCCACTGCTGCTGGGCGGATTTTATTTTGCTCTCGATTTTCATCATTTTGTGTAGAAGAATCGACTTTCTCGCATCGCATCGAAGCTGAACTTTCGCTGTAGCAAAAGGTATTGTGTCATTTTATATCAAATTTATACTGCAACAAATTTAACACCGTACTGGTGATGGGTGGATTTTTACTCCGCTTTTCTTCAATTTCGTCATTTTGCGTCGACTTCTTTTCGACTTACTGCCATTGAAGCTGATTTTGGCTGTATCGATATCAAAAGGTATTGTGTCAATTGATATCATATTTATGTTAAGAGTCAACAAGAAACAATAGATTTAACAAACTGGTACTGGACGGATTTCAGTTCATTCTCGATATTTTCATCATTTTGTGTAGAAGAATCGACTTTCTCGCATCGCATCGAAGCTGAACGTCGGCTGTATCTAAAGGTATTGTGTCATTTGATATCAAATTTATACTGAGAGTCAACAAACAACAATAGATTTAACAAACTGGTGCTGGGTGGATTTTTACTTCGCTTTTCTCGATTTTCATTATGTCTTTTTTCGACTTTCGAATTTTCTGCCATCAAAGCTGAACTTAGGCTGTATCGATATCAAAAGGTATTGTGTCAATTGATATCATATTTATATTAAGAGTCAACAAAAACAATAGATTTAACAAACTGGCACTGGGCGGATTTTAGTTCATTCTCGATATTTTCATCATTTTGTGTAGAAGAGTCTCCCTTTTTCGACTTTCTAGAATTGAAGCTGATCTTCGTCGGTATCAATAGGTATTGTTCCAATTGAGATCAAATTTATACTGTGCATCAACAATAAACAACAATAGATTTAACAAACAAAACTGATGTAAGGATTTCGGTTCGCTGTTCTCGATTTTTATCATTTTGTGTAGAGAAATCTCCTTTTTTCGACTTTTTCGCATCGAAACTGACTCCAGCCGTATCAAAGGGTTTTGCGCCAGTTGTGAGTTGATATCATATTTACGCGGACAGATTCTGTTTTATACAACAGACTGTTTTATGCAATGGCTTATACAACGATTTCAGTGATGTAAGAGCCTGTAATTCTAGAGTTGTACACATGTAATCTAACTCGGAACTTTCATATCACACAGGCACAGGACGAGTAGGAACAAGGCGCGAGCAGAGGTGTTTTGGAACGACCATATAAAGTACAAGCCGATCTAATATCATAAGGTAACACGCAATACAAAGGACAACTTCAGGTTTACGCAGTTTAGCTGTAGAACAACTTGTTACACCTAACCCCTGAGCATCTAACTCTAAACATTGTTTAAAGCTATCTATTGACAATGCCCCTACTGTACTTGGTGACAGCGAGTTCCACTCTGCGATAGTTCTGGGAAAGAATGAATTCTTGAACACCTCAATCCTCGGTTTCAACACAACAAACGTTTGAACAATGATGTTTTTCAGACCCTAAAGATGCAGCTGAGTAAGACCCTGAGTTTGGTTTCCATGGCAGCGGTGATGTCAGCGTCCTTCTGTCTGATCGTCAGCGTGCATCAAGAGCCGTGGGGTCCTGGGGACGAGACGCGGGGCCCTGGGAACGTGCTGGACTGCTCCAACCACTTCGTGCTACAGAGGGTCACAGATACAACTCACGGCAGGTGGGAAACAAACAAACAAACAAACAAACAAACAAACAAACAAACAAACAAACAAATACCCACAGAGGAAGTGAGAAAATGGAATATTTGAAGAAGACAGAAATATTTGTAGTATATATTAAACAAACGTGCGCACGTAAACAAGCATTCAGAAAGAAGAAAGAAAGAAAGAAAGAAAGAAAGAAAGAAAGAAAGAAAGAAAGAAAGAAAGAAAGAAAGAAAGAAAAAGAAAGAAAGAATTGAATTCAGTTATAGGTTGTCATGTATAAGACAATTAAGTGTACAGCTTTGAGCATTTAGAGAGGCGCAGAAAGAGAGAAAGGAAGAAAGCATGCACAAGAAATTTCAGCAAATTTTGACATCCTTTTGTCTATGTTTCTATGTTCAGATATTACCAAGACAAAGACCTTATCGTGAGTGACGTCACGCGCCTACGGACTGTTCCACTACCCAAGCCCGTGGGGGTGTCTCAGGGCCAGCCAGCTGACGTCCAGTATTTCTGGCAAGTGTCAATCATTGGTCTGCTTTCATTTCAAGATACTAGTAATATCTATAAAGATGTGTTCCCTGTAATACAATAGTGATACTGTAGATACACACGCCACCTTGTATCCGTGAATAGTTTCATCAGGTTGGTAAGTCACTGACTAAAGAGACTCTTTCTACACAACCAAGTGGTTCGTTTACAGACGACGTTTCGGTGACCGTCTGTCACCTTCCTCAGGACAATTCTGACTGTAATCACGCATATGTATAGATTTGTAAATATTGTACGTTTGGGAATGCATCTATAGCAGCGACACCTGTGCTGCAGTGCAATGTGAACAAGTTAGAATTACCCTGAGGAAGGTGACAGACGGTCACTGAAACGTCGGCTGAATAAAAGACTTGGTTGTGTAAATGTAAAAAGAGTCTCTTTACTCAGTGGCTTACCAACCTGATGAAACTATTCACGGAAACAATAATACTGTATACACACGCTAGCTTGGTTTTGTGTACTTTACTCTAAATAAGCACAGCACGCGACCCTCTTTGCAGGAGAGACACTCAACAAGTCTTCAGAGTACTTCAAACTCTTGTGGTTTGGAGTGTTTACATAAACCTGGGCACAAAACAGTGGATGTTAGGTGTGGTCGTGTACCAAGGTCAAGGTAAAGAGAAAAAGAGTCGCAACTGCATTTTGAGCACAAGGCGCTAGGTTATACCGGCTATACAGATACAGATATTAGGTAGCTGCGTCTTAGGAGAGTTTTTGGTCAGTTGCAGTATGTGTTGTTTGTTGTAGTTTACCCTTGTTTAAAGGCCTTATTCTCAGCATGATTGAAATGAAACTAAAACAAAAATTCTGTTCGAACAGGTCCGATGACGTCAGAGCAGCGACACGCTCACAACCGCAAAGGCTTACGGGACAGATGTGACGTAATCGTCCGACCAAAGAGAAAGCTGTATCCAGTATCTATGAAGGGGGCCCAGTGTGGGGAAAGGAAGTGTCTTTCCTAACATATCAGTTACAGAATATACTTTCAGTAACTGATAAAAAATGATAGATGTAACATAGCAAATGCTATCTGTAACGCCTGTCACTTGAGTGATGTATCCAGTTGCTTGTTTTTTTGTTTCTGTATTACGTTCTATTCAAGAGGTGCTCAAAATCTTTATATATAGGTTATACTTGTTTTTAGACTCATTCTCAGTTACTGTTGACAAATAGCAGATGCTTTCTGAAACATCTGACTCTTCTAAGATTTTATCCAGTTCCTTGATGTATTTTGTTAATATTAAGTTATATTCTACCTGGGTGTCTGACCTTCATCCAAAATTTCTGTTTATGATATGTCATGAAATCATATGGTTTTGTCATTGCTTATTCTTGATATTTCACCTTATGCACTTTCTGTACTTTGATTTACATGTAATGATGCTTATTCTTAGTTCGTCGTTGTCAATAGGTTTGCTGATTTTGTTTCTTTTGTATTTTTGTTACGTTGCAATAATTTCTTTGACAATGGGACACTGAGCCTTGAAACGTGAATAAAGTGATGATTAGCTTATAAACACATTTATTCTTTTATGAGTTTGACACTATCATTTTTTATCTTATCAAGGGCATGCCTATAGAATATAAAATATTTTCATAATATACTAAGAAACACCAGGAGCAGCTTTGTGTATTTACTTCATGATTCACCACAAAAAAAGTCTCATGAGAGCCACTCAAAATGTTTTGGGTTACTGTACAGCCAGTGAGGACAGATGTTTGTTGACCTTGGACTTGAAAAGTTTAGGTTATACCCATATGGGAAACAATCACGTGGTAGCTTTTCATAGTGATATGTTGTTTTTTCACCCCAAAGAGCACAGAGTAATCTCCAAGCAGATCTTTTGGTGGCTCCAATACAGTATCAAATTGGTCATGGAGTAACCATTTGCCATTTTGCTAGCGTAGAAAAAGATGTTGGTACAAAAAAAGAAAGCCCAAAGCAAACGCCTAACACATAGAAAACGCCTAAAAATAAGTCGAAGCCTAAGAAAAATACATTCATATGGCTGTCAATAGCAGTAACTGGTGATGTCCTTGGTGCTGAAATGGGTATCCCTAATCTCGTGCCCAGAGCCTCCATAGATTGCGGTTACACGCGTTGTATACTATCCTGGGTACGAGGTGGGGATAAGCTGGTCCGCCATTGGCTATTGCTCTGTGACGTCAGACCTTGCCGCCAGAATCTGAAAATGTCGTCTGCAGAGGCAAGAAAACATCTCAGATGTTTCTGAGGTAAAATTTCGCTCCACAACCGCCGCCGGCTTCTAAAAAAAAAGGTAGGAGTCGTAGGATAGTGTTGAATTTAAGTAGCCATGAGTTGGAAATGTATCTAGAAAGGGTTACATTCGAAATCGCGAAAACGTAGTATGTCGATGCTTGTAACTTTGGCAGGTGGGGAGGGGGGCAATAGTTACGCGTTGTCTGATACTTTTCACTGAGGGAAAGCGCTCTGTGAGAATGTTCGCAGTCCTCGAACTGAGCACTGAGTAGAGTTGCTAAGTTTCTAGCGTAGAATGTACCATTATATCGCGTAGTCTCTGCAGTTTTGCGCGTGTTTAAGTCCGTCAGTAGGTCAGATACATGCAACTTTGGCTTTTGCAGGTGGGGAGGGGGGCAATAGTTACATGCTTTTTATTGAGGGTAAGCGTTCTGTGAGAAATTTCGCAGTCCTCGAACTTAGCCCTGAGTAGAGTTGCTAAGTTTCTAGCGTGGAAATGTGCCATATCATGCAGTCTCTGCGGTTTTGTGTGTATTTATTTCTGTCCGGCCACCGCATACATTTCTAGGTCGTGGCTGATGCTTTTTTCCTGGAGGTAAAAGTTCTGTGACAAAATTCTCAGTTCCAGAATAGGGCTGTGAGTTGCTAATTTTCTAGCGTGGAAATGCACAATCATATCGTGCAGTCTCTGCAGTTTTGCGCGTATTTATTTCCGTCAGTTCACAGTATATATTTCCAATACTTGCAGTACTGTCGCCAACCGTAAGCTACATGTAGAGTAGCCAACGATTTGGGAAAGGACATGGTGACTTTAGGCTGAAATACGAGAATATTATACTATGTTACCACAGCCAAGTAGACCACTCAATGGACCGATAAAATCTGGTCTATGTGGACAGGTAGTCACTGTAGATTCTCAGGATTCTCAATGCTTGTGTGAGTGCAAAAAAAAAATATGTGAAAATATAAAGAGACCACGAAAACGTGGTGACATTTTTTGTTTTCTTAACTTGCACATAGTGTCAATACAAAGTGTAGAAAAAATACCATAAATATATGAAATGTGCGGGAAGAAGCCAGAGGCCATATACATTGTACATGCACTTGATCTTCAACTAATTGATAACAACCAAATGATAGTTAACAATGGACAGGTGGTCCTTGTATCGAGATGATCACTTGTACATGTTTGACAGTGTTTCATTCTTGCAGCTGCACGATGTGTCATGTAATGTTATAATGTTATTATGTTTAATGTTGCAATTTTATAGCAGGTGGGATTTAGACTCCTGTCACCATATATGTGAATGTGTTTGAGTACTGCTTTCACTTCTTTGAGCATCCTTAACACCATAACTCCTGCTTGTAAATCTAACAATCCGTTTGTAAGAGCCATATGTATCGAGTTCCTCCCATTCTGTAGAAACTAAAACCCGGAACTTTGATACATGGCAAGGCATGGCAAATAGTCAACATAGCAGAGACGCTACCGGATGAACGTGGACTAACCTCCATAGATATGCATATTTTACTACGGGGTACGAAAAAAGTTGATAAACATTTTCACACTCCCCCCTATAGCCTAGCCTACCATACTCGAGAGAGACAACGTTGGATTTGATGTTGAAGTCTAACCCGTCTTTGCATCGCAAACTTGTCGCCTGTGACTGAAACGAGAGAAAAAAATGCCCTGCGGATTTTTTCTTCTTGAAATATTACAATACCGTAGTTAGTAGCGACACAGGGCTGCTGCCACAACTTGAGCAGAAAGCTACAAAGAAAGCTACAAAACATCCCAGCGACGGCTGATTTCAATAAGACCGCCGTTTAGTTTTTTACTGCAGCTAGCGCTTGAGTACGACGCTTCCAAGAAAGTGAATTTTTCGTCGCATAATCCCGCAACAAGAATAGCAACACACGATGGTAGATAACACCGCAGTTTTATCCACGGTTACAAATTGAGTGGGACGTCCGATGACCAAGGCAGCTGGCGAGGGGACTAGCGCGTAGCCATCTTCTGACGGGATCTTATCAAAGTAGGGAGCGGTCCAACTTGGGCTGGCGTGCCTCGAGTTCTCGCATTGCCTTATATGCACATGGCCGCTCCCTCAGGGGTCCGGTCTTTAGACCGTTCCATATTTCTCGCCATGTCTCAGGGGTTTCTTAGTTTGGCGACAACTCCCCGGGAACCCCAAATATAGCCGCCTGCATGTGTGCGAGGCGTGCGGTAGATACCGTCGGTCCGACTTAGCCTGTGCTAACGAACCCCACCCCGCCGATATCAGCCATCAGCTTTGTTGTTCTTGGCCGGGGACAAATTTCCGCGGAAGAGTGCGAAAAGGTAAATATATCTAGCGCTTTCAGATTGTTGGTTGGACTTAATTAAGTCGATTTGATCCATACGGTGGTAAGAGATAATACATACAATACAAAACGGGGGGCGTATTTTGAGATTTGGGTCAGTGTTGGGTTGAGAGTGTTGGGCGTACTAACAGAGATGGCTCCCCCGGCCGCAGGTCCAAAATCGCCGCCGAAGATCGTTTCGAGTCCCCAGGAGCTAGCGATCCAGCTAGGGCAGCCCTTGTCGCTAACCTGTGGGGTACAGGGCAACCCCCGTCCGACCGTTACCTGGTACTTCAACGGTAAAGACACCGCCGGCCTCGCGGGCTTTCGTTTAGCGGAGAAGGGCAACAGCGTAAGCCTAGAAATCAGCCGCTTCGACGTGCCGTGCTTTGGGAATTACCTTTGCGTTGCCCGGAACGAGCTTGGAGAGGCTAAATTCACTTTAGCGCTTGATGCACAAGGTAGGATTTTTTGTTTATTTTAGACATTCTTTAAAAATTTAATACACGCTGGTGTAGCAACGTTAGCCTAGAGTTCAGCCACTTCGTCCTACCGTGCCTTGGGACTAAGTTGCCACTGCGTTGCCCGGAAGGAAGCTAGTTGAGGCTACATTCACTCTAACACTCACTTGACACACAAGGTAGGATTTGTCTTGTTTCAAGTGATCTTAAATCTACAAACATTTACACGCGCCCTTCTTGTTTTTGTCTTTTCATTTACAGCGAGATTTTCCAGCTAAATCTACCAACGGAGATAAATGAACGAAACCAAAACCGACCCTTAACAATCATACGTTAAGTAATAGACACAAACAAGAAAATAAACACAACACAGCACTTCACATTTCTTCTACCTACCAGGATTTTTTAAAATTCTCTTCAACAAAAGTTCGTATTAAAACTTTAAAACACAGTGTGAGTATAGTGTAATCCACGGTCTTAAAAAAACTACATGTATAACCGGTTGTGACCAGTCAAGCACTGGAGCCATAATTGCGTTAAGCGTCTAAATGCTTCGCGTTTCTGACATGACTCGCCGAAATATCTTAACGCCCAGAATGTGACTGAGTTTGCAACAATTCTGTTGCACTTTGTCCTGATTTACAAACATAGTGTGCAAGCCGCAACATTGATGTAGCAACATTGTTATAGCAACATTGCAGGTAATAGCCAGTTATTCTTTCTTTACATTAATCTACTGGGAAACATTCAAAACAACTACAAACAATGTTTCTGATATTTAGCTTAATTGTAGTCTAAGGCTTTTAAAATTCTTTAGTATATAAGTATATTCTTTTTAGAGTGAAGACACAATTTCTTTAAGACTCGCAAAGAACGTATAAAAGTATTATCAGACCACCACTAGGCTTTACGAGTAAATATTGTGGACCAAGAGTCTTATACTGGAGAAAGTGCTGCTATATTTAGATCAGTGAAGGAAGGGGGAGGGTGTACCCTGGCGCATTAGGAACTCCAAATCGGATTAATTCGTATATAAATGATAATACTAAGACAGGTGGGTACAGAACTTTATTGCACGACAATTGTACATGGTACAATGTATGACAACAACTATATTGAACATAGTACAAAAAGAAAGGCATGGAATAAAACTTAACATCCTTAGTACTAAAACAACAACTGCAAGCATAAGTCTTTGATATAGTGTTATAATAGAGAGGGGCTAATTACGAGTTTCCGTATTTTTTCTAATAACAAAGCTCTCTTATATATTTACCTATTTTTGCATTGTGAAAGTTATTGCATCTAAGATATATTCAAATTTATTTCAAGCATCGAGTCTCTTGAAATCTATTGTAATTGAGTTACGAAATTTTAATATCTTATTATACGTATGCTGTTGGTAGTTCGTTTTGTCTTATACACTAGGAATATGCATATGGCAACGTAAATGACTTGCACAAGAAAGTAGATGAAAATCCTCTTCCTAAGCAGAGCAGGAAAAAACAACATGCATGAACTACTGACCTAAAAGCAGTGACTCCCTCATGTCATTATCAAATCCCCATTCCTGCGTAGTATTCTGCCAAACACGATGTTGACCTTGAAGTCGAAATGACTTTGACCTTGGCACAAGACCAGAAATAGTCCGTGAGAGTCGGCACGGAAATCTTTTCTCCCTTTTTTGTCATTCTCTCCTGATAAAACTGTTGATTCACAGTATAATTTACTAATGTATCTATTAATTTGTTTACACCAAAATTCTCTACCTGATTTTGTTTGTTTGAATAAGAGATCTCTCAGTGGTTGCTTCTTCCTTTTTTGGCATTATTTTTAACAGAACTGTTAATGTACAATATGATGTATCTATCTATTTATTCATTTATTCGTTTACACCAAAATGCTCTGCATGTTTTTATTTGAGTGAATAACGTCGTACTAAAACTCATGGTATAGTTCACTGTGTTCTAGCCAGATTATTTTTATTTATTTATTGGTTTGGCTGTTCAACCCTCACAGCCAGGGCAGCCTAACTAGCCAGTGCCCGTGGCTATTACAAAGGGCTTACCAAGACATGACAAAACATTACAGCAACTTATAAGGTGGCTTAACAATCTAAAAACAAGTATTACACTATTCTATGTAAATAAAAGCCAGATTATAATGTCGCAAACACGGAAAGAAAGTAGAGAAATTCGCACGCTTTCTAGTGTCCATCATTTGTGCCACTGTTGACATAAATAGACAAGCCGTTAAGAACTGCGGTGTTTCCAGAGTATTTGCTGACACGCGGCCGAAAGTTTTCTGTAAATGTTTGCTCTTTCTGTTTGCCTGCGACCTGTCTGTACCTAATCACAAGGCCCTGTCGTTTGGATGCTAATGAAACCAGTCGGGCAGAAAGTAACTCATGTCTGGCAGGAAGGAAACCAACGATTAGTTTGCAACTGATGTTTACAACTCGCTGTCACCAAGTACAGTAGGGGAATTATCATTAGATAGCTTTAAGCGATGTTTAGATTTAGATGTTCAAGGGTTAGGTGTAGCAAGTCGTTCGGTGTAATGTAGCCAGCTGCCGCCGCGCCGCCTGCCTGCGAAGCTGGTGTGTTATACCGAAGGATGGTTATACCGGCTATACCGATACGGATACAAGAGGAGAGAAACAGAACTTAGCCTGCATTTAAAGACATCAACACAATTTCAGGGTGGCAAAACAAATATTTTGGATGAGGAAATTTGTCCGATATTGACACTTACCGCACATTTTCGTGATCATTTCACACTTGAAGCATTTGAACTAGCCCTAAAACAATCGACATGAGGAGTCTCTTAATGTTTTTGGATACCACCTACATGTACAGATACATGTAGCTACAACCATCCCACGCTACAAAACCATCGGATTTGTGACCACAGATATGTTATGGGATAGGGTTCCTTTAAAGTGCTACATGGAATAAATGACCAGAAAATTGACTCTGAAAATCTAGTAGCTGTACTGTAGTTGCCATGCCCTGAAATCGCTTTGGTGCGAGAAAACCAAAGAATAGTTTGCAAGAGGATAGAAACAGAACTTAGCGTGTATTTACAGACTTTCCCCGACTTTGAAAAGTTGAACTTCGTTTCTTTGCATTAGTATTGAAGTAGACACACATATGGTATGAGGTTTGCAGCAGTTGATTCAGATTTGTTCCATCATCACTCTTGAAGAAACCATTAGTACAATCCGGAAAATGGCATCCAACGTGCGCTAATCAACTCCAACTGTGGATAGCTGTTTTTTTCCGAGCAAGAACTTGGAGCTATGAGGCGAGTTGCCCACAAGCTCACTCCCATTGGAAGAGCTGCAGTGTACAAGGCACAAGTACGCAGTGTTATGGAGTATGCTTCACTGTGCTGGATGAGTGCACCTGCCACCTCGTTGGGACTCCTGGATTCTGTTCGAAGGAGGGCACTTAAAATCATAGGAACAAACGAACAAGAAGCCAGGTTGACACTGAACATCCCATCTCTTCAGCACCGTCGCCAAGTGGCTGCTGCGGCACTCTTGTACAAAATGCACACCGACACATGCCCAGCAGGCCTGAAAACAATGCTCCCCAAGCCTTACACCTTCAGACGCACAACCAGAACTAGTCTTGCTATGCCAACCCACGCACTTGCACAACCGGTATCTAGAACCAGCTCCACCGGCCGGACCTTCATCCACTCTGGAGTTCAGATCTGGAACCAACTCCCAGAATCCATTGTGGGCAACATCAACAACAACGGACTGCAGTCCTTCAAAGTCAGAGTCCATCGACACCTCCTTCACTGCAATTGAGAACTTGGCAGCTGTGAGCCACTGATTGCCCACTGATTGATCCATTGTACAATCAGTGGGTATTGCTCACTACAGCATATTATAAAAAAAAAGAACCACTGACTGGAACACGAAAAGTTTTGTTCTGAATGATACTATACATTATGTACACTACTACAAGAACGAACAAACAAACATCATACAATTAACATGAAAGTTCATCTGTGTTAGTAGTAATCATAGTAAAACATCGAACTTTATTCCAACACAAGGGTTACACGTTGTGAAGTGATTGTTCATTAATTATCCTGATGAAGGTGACAGTGGTCGTCGAAAATTTGATCGCTCTGTAACTCTTGTGTTGGAATAAAGTTCAATGTTTTACTATGAAAACATCATACAATGTTTCTCTTGTTGAAGATGTCTAAATGTTCCCAGCAAAAGTTTTGATGCGACTTCTTGATCGACCAACGCGAACCGTGATTTGGCAAGTGATGTGCATGAGAAAAATGATGGTGCTTTATTCAATTTAAGAGTCGTTTGTTTAATTCTATTTTCGTTGTAGATTACTACGTTACTATCTGTACAAAAATTCAAACTACGTGAGACAACGAACAAATTTTATAATCAGATTTAATCTCTCTTATTTTTTTTTTCAAAAAGTAGCAGTGTACAAATATCCCACTTTCTCACATCTGGCTCTGGGATTATATTCTGAACTACAGACGCCTTGTATGTAGATATGAAGTATCTATATTATCTATTTAGGGCAAAATAACAAGTGACTAAAATTATCAGTTAATGTGGAGCCGGTAGAGAATTGGTACTCCTGATGTCTTACTTTGTGGGACGTCCATCATAAGATAGCTTGTTATGGTACAGACGTGAGTACAGACTGAGTCCCTGTGTATTAGGTGTCGGTGTTCGCAGATCTAACGTCAGATATTTAGAACAGGAATAACGTGCATATCGTGCCAAGATCTTTTAAGGGATGAAAGCTGCAAGTTTGGGATATCTAGCAAACGTAACCTACTTAGGGAGTTTTTCTTTCAAGAATTTTAACGTGCTTGTGAGCTAGAGGGTACTAGGGGTCAGGTAGAGTTAAGGAAGGTCAGTGACGTGCTAGATGGTGAGCTTATTGGCCAGACCATATTTGTATTGTACGTCGGTGAAGGTTAAACATCAAGGTAATGAGATACGCCAAAAACAGTCACTCAAGCAACTGGATATGCTTTTGGGCAATAAAGAGCTGTTAGAAAAAGCAGGTTTTTTACAGGCAAATTTGTGTTGCCTTTACGTTTGAAATTTGTGAGGGTAAGACCAGATACTCACAGTGGCTAGCTACCCTGCCTCTGGACTAAGTTGTTGGGAGTTTGAATCCCAGCTATTGTCGCTCACCCGACATGCACGCTACTGTTAAGGGTCGCAGTTCTTAGGACAGGACATTAAGCCGTAATCCACTGTTGATTGTGCTATGGGAATTTCCCTGATACTATGGACCTGTCGATACTGTACATAGCATCTCTCTTCTCTGTCACGACCAGTGGAAGAGTAGTTTTCAATGAGCTGAACTGGTTCGAGATCACTTTCACGTTTTCACCCTCTGCTTAACCAGCGCGGTCTGTGTACTTTACTGTAGCGACGTGCAAATATCACGAATTTGTTACATTTCTTCAAAAGGTCGCGGGAGGTCAGGTCTAAGAGAACGACCCAGTCATGCCTGACTTTGCTTATTTTCTGGTCGCCCTTTTGAACCGGAACGTCACTCAGTGTTCCCCTGGGGTTTAAGAAAGTCGTTCCAAACATAACTTCCCTTCTTTCACGTACAAGTTCGGATAAACGTTAGTAGAGGACAAGAGAGTCCCTAAAGCTACATACTAGAGGATAACAGATAGCACAAGATGAAGAGTGGTGCAATCCTTCTTCACTTTCTGTCTGTATTAAATAAACAGTTTAATCGTTTCAATTTTCTTATTTTCTGCAGTCATACCCGTCTCAAATGGTAGGGACGTAGGTGATCATAGGGTCTTAGAAACAAAAGCGCCACCTTGTGGCAGTCGGGCACACTGCAAGCTTGGTGTATTATCATCTGTTTCACTTTAACCTACATTTCACTTTATTGGCCGGCACTTATATAGTAAGAGGTGGAGTCAGGGCTGTCATGTACTAGTGTATAACCGACTTGTGTTTTCCATAAGCGTTTACTTCAAATTACCACCTTAATCGCAGTTCAGAACACACCACATTTCTTATACAGCTTTGTTTACAGAAGATACAATAAATATTATGTTACACGTCGAATGTTTGCTTCCCCTAAGATACTCAATGCACCTTGAAATTGGTCACACTATAAGTTGATGTGAGATATCAACCATATGTGGGCTAGCTGGTATAGCTACAAGAATTAAGAAATATTTCAGTGACATTATAACACTTTGTTTGACTATAAGTGCCATGCATTGTATTTATTTGCTTAACATGTCCTCAACATTTTCCTGACATTACCCAAACAAACACACACATGAACATCGCTAAAGTATGTACTAGTGTATACATATGTATCCTTCTTTATAAAGTACATAATATTTCCTGAGTAAAGAGACTCTTTTTACACAACCAAATCTTTTATTCAGCCGAAGTTTCAGTGACCGTCTGTCACCTTCCTCAGGGCAATTCTGACTGGTTCACATTACACAGCAGCACAGGTGTCGCTGCTATAGATGCATTCTCAAAGGTACAATATTTACATATTTACACATATCTTGGTTGTGTAAAAAGAGTCTTGCCAACCTGATGAAACTATTCAAGTAATAATATTTCCTGTTTTGTTCTTTCAGCGGACCAACTTGGCTCGTCTGCGGAGAGGTACGTCAGTTTGAATTCTTCTTAAGCTTCGATGTTTTTGTACGTCAGCAAAATGACGTTCTCTCGCATTATCCTTACTCATAGGACGAATCTTTATCTTTTATGATAACAATAATTCGCACTAACGTCTTTGCTGTGCGTCACCACATATGACCGTTAATTGACCTCAGATATTGGTCAAAGGACAGTAACTGTTGTAGCTGGAATTGTCATAATCCGACTATCCCAAAGTGGTAAGGACTCAAATTTATGTTGTGGCACTCTATGTATTATTATTTCAGTGCATCCTTTACCATTACAACCGCACGAAAAGTTGAATTTGCCAACGGTATTGTAGATTCCAACAGCAGTGTTTTTGTCCCAAAATGAACATATTTGATGAAAAAGAAAAATAGTGCACAACTCTGATGTCTAAGCAAGGAGGTCATCTTGCTTAGACGTCAGCTTTTTTTTCTTGTTCATCAAATATGCTCATTGGATATGCTCAAAGTGTTAAGCAATGAGGTTGTCTGCCTCTAACCTCCCTGGTCTAAGTGTTTGCGTCGCCTGTGCGAGTTGAAAAGTTGAATTTGCCAACTGTAGTAGATTCTAGCAGCAGTGTTTCTGTGAGAAAAAAAATAGCGCACAATGCTGATGTCTTAGGAAGGAGGTTATCTGCCTCTAACCTCCTTGGTCTCAGTGTTTGCGTCGCCTGCACAAGTTGACCTTGTCCCCCCTCCCCACCCTTCTCCCTGCGTCCATGTACGAAATACCTTTCCCTTTCCGTCCTCGCCCGCCTGTGTGCCTGACAGTGACGTTCCTATGCCGTGTCGAGGTCCCCCGGGACTCTAAAGACCTTCCAACCTTAACCAGACGCACGCGGAATGCGACATGTTTCTATACAGAGGACGGAACCGCAGACGTCGCTCTAAACTCACCGTCTAAAATTTCGCGTCGACCAAATTTGTCGTCGTCCGATAAATAAGTCAGATAAAAGACGAACGATTCTGTATCTGCTGCGCGACGATTGATACATTGTAACTGACATCCTCTGACGGTTTTCTTTCTTCTTCTTTCCATTTGTAGACTTGAGCCGCCCGATCTAAAGGACTGGGACTTTGTTAAGAAGGTATGTAAATGTTTCCTTTTTTTCTTAACATTTTAAGACGGCGACATCCGTTCAACATAAGAAGTTATATTCCCGCTAAGTCTCACAGTGACGAGCTTTCAGTCTGTCGACATGAACTTCAAACGCTCGACGTTACGAAGATCAAGAGCTTAGTATCGTAGATTGGGAAGTGTTTTGAAACGGGTTTGACCAATTAGAGACTTAACATACCGTCTGAAAAGACGGTTAGATGTACGCTAACGTGTTGCTCTTTAAGTCTTTGATGGTACCGTACAGACAAAAACATCCGTACTGTTGTTTTCTTTTTTTTTTGCGGCGAGAACTGAAAAGAATTCGAGTTATAACCTGTTGTGCAAATTGTTGACAGACGAAGTAGTAGTGTGAAGGAAAACGCCTGTCAGATTTGCCTGTATATACCAGCCTGAAAACAGGTCATAAATCCGCGACATGTTGAAACACCGAAGCGTCCGTCTGTGTGCGAAGAAATAAATCCAGACATTCCCGTTGAGACACGACCTCGCCTGCGATCACGTCCGCGTTTTCAAGGCGAACATTTCATCCGAAGATGATGGAACGAGATTTAAACGTGCAGCAACTCAACTTTGTCTTATTCTACTCAAACAAGGCTGCATGGAATATATATCCGGACATAATGCCCAGACATCTTGTCTACTGGCTACAAGATTTCTTTTTAAAATGTGTACAGGAAATTCTATGATATTATCTACTTTCTGTAAGCATTTAAGCGTTGTAATTTATATAAATTGTGTTTTCCTTCCCATGAATTTTGTTCATGATTGTTGAGTCAAGTTGTCTCAAGGCCAGGACGGACTCAAAACGCTATTTGAATAAGATTCCTAAATTAGAGATGTGTGCACGAGAATTTTTAATTCTGATGATATTGTTCTAATTTATTTAACCCTTATACTGTATACAATGTTGTATATACTATATTACACAAACTATGTTTTCCTTCCCCTGAATTTTTTTCACGGCTATTGTGTTAACTTGCCTGTGGGACGGACTGAAAACGCTGTCTCTATTTTAGGACGCATAAGACATAAGATGTTCTATATAGATGGCCAAAAGTCGCGGAGTCCAAACAAGGCGACCGCTCCCTCCCCTGTGTGCAGGCTGACTTCCTTATCAATGCCTGCGGCACACTGGTTCACATAATTCCACTGCCACGGGTCGGCAGCACACACGGAAGTAATGTAGCAGCCTGGATGTTTTCCCGTAGCAAGGATTTTGAAGGGGAGGGGTGGGGGATCTGAGGGACCAGCGAGCAACATAGGCGAGGGGGGGGGGGGTCGGCATAGGTGCGAGGTTCCTAGGTAGGGGTGTCTCCTAGGAAAATCCAAGTTCTGAAAAGGCATTTCCTGCGTTTTTGATACGATATCAAAGGAAAAAAACAGACATAACTTTAATGACAAAGTGAGCAGTTCATACCCTTGCTTTCCCGTAGCCAGGATTTTTGGAACGGGGGGGGGGT